ATCGTCTGCGCGTTGAGCTTGCGATAATCGATGCACAACCGCAGGTCCTTGTTCTTCTTCCGGACGAAGAGAACATGAGCACCGTATGGCGATGAGCTAGGCCAACCTTTCTCTAGAAGGTCGTCGAGTTGTGCCTGAAGCACACTTAACTCTTCCTCGCTCATTCGGTAGATGCAACCGCGCGGAGTTTTCCGTCCTAGAGGATGATCTCGTGGCGGATGGGTCGATCCGGTACTACTCCATGCGGATCTTCGAACACGTCGCTGTAGGCGTCGAGAAGTTCGATGATGCGTGGATCCGAAGGTGAGTCCGTCGATGAAGCGTCATGTGGCGGGAGGGCATGGAGAAAACACACCCCCATCTCCTCGATGTCATCTCTGATGATGGAAGCTCGCATGCTTGCAGCAGATACCACGTGGCAGCTGATCGAAGGATGAGGAAAAGGCACCGTGCATGGAACTAATACTCTGTTCCGGTCACGAACGTGAACGGTGCGGTTGAAGAAGTTCACAGGGTGATCCTTGCTTCGCAGCCATGACATGCCCAAGATCATGTCGAATTTGGTGTCCAGAATGTCGAAGGACACCGCCTCACTTGCGTGGGGGGCAAAGTACACTGGGGTGACGTCAATGCATCGATCGATGGACTTGTGCGTATGACCGTCTGCCAGAGTGACTTGCGTAGGCTGGGATTTCCGCCGGACACGTGGGCCAAGGCCGGCACGTACCATGAAGTCCTGGCTGATGTAGTTGTGAGATGCTCCGCAATCGATCAAGGCACTKCAGGTCGCCTCTCCGATCTGAATGCGTATGTATAGCAATGGTGCGTCGATGTCGTCGTACCGTTGCGTCTTGAACTCGCGGTCGATCTTCGCGATGAAAGCGTGAAGGTCGACAACCTCTGCTCCGGCGTCCATCAACGGAGCTGGTACTGCAGTGAGCAAGWAGTCCCGCAMTTGTGCCATAAGCRCRTTGCAATGCGGTTTCGRCAATCGTCCGGTCGARGGAACGGGCATCCASTGGAAGTYCGTGAACGTCAATGGGTCGAGYTCTTCAAGTCTTGACCATGACGTCGAATCCCCGSCGATAGRTTGCGGCGAAGYTGCCGAATCGGTTGCCGATGGTGRTGAAACCGTGCATGCGGTGGACTGTTGCACGTGGAGCGGTTGGTCCAGCGGTGGAACCAAGTGGACAGCATAATCCTCGTAAGTATACCGAGGACTTGCGACATTCGCATCCTCCCCAGATGTGCAAGAGGCCGCTAGCAAGGCGACCGAATCTGGCGGAGTAGAAGGTGGAGTCGCCTCACCTTCCGCGAAGCTCAGTTTCCCGAGCTGAGGCGGGGTCGCACATCCTCCTTGCCCTGATCTTGGCACAGGGAGGTCTTGTGCTTGGTGCTGTTGCACCAATAGCAGCTGCCGTAGCGGCCGCGGATCTTGTACTCCGCCTCGGTCAAGCCAAACTTGACCCATGGAAACTGTCCTGGCTGTCCATTTCCGGCCTGCAATGCGGATTTCGCCCTCCCATTGTTGCGGGACTTGTTGGTGCTTCGCAGCTGGACAGCGGCCACCTGATCTCCGTCACTTGATACTGGAGTGGCTGCTGGGTTATCTCCACTGTCCTGCTGGACTGCAGCGAAGTGCTACTGTCGCGGACCAGTTCGTGCCTTCTCCACATAGGTCGGCTGCCATGTTGATTTCGCGTGTGCAGCTGACCTGTTGGTCTGGATGATCTCCCTCGCTTTGTCAATGATCTCCGCGAAGGTTGAGTACTGCTCGCGATCACCAAGAGCCTGGCTCAATGCCGCACAGGACCTGTTGTAGAACTCACGGCGTAGATGCTCGAATGGTAGGTTCAGATTGGGCACAGCCGCAATCTTCTGCCACTCCGTGAGCCAGTCCCGTGTTGTTGTGTTGCCCTGTGACATGGTGAAGAAATGGTTGATGGCGAGTGCCGGCGCGTCGTCGACGATGAACCGCTTCTTCCACAGCCGTGTTAGTTCCTCCCATGTGATTACGTCCTTCAAGTCTGGTACGTCGACGTCGTGGGAGGTTGCCAGGTGGCTCAACCAGGTCTGGCATCCGCCTTTTGAGTTCAGGAACAGGGCGCCGATGTACGCGTGCTTGGATACTGGCAGAATCCTGACTTGCATTGTGAATGCTTCCCACCAGAGGACGGGATCCTGCTGCGTGTAGTCGTCGAACCTCTCCAGGTTGAAAGTTGGCATCTTGTACATTTTCGGATTGTCGTCCGCGTTTGTCGACTGCAGCTTCTGGACCTCGGTCTTCAATGTATGCAGCTGACTGCTGATGGTGGTGGTCGGCGCAGCGAAGGTGCTGATGTCGCC